CTCGGGCCGCCCTGCCCTGCGTGGCCTCTGGTGCCGCAGCCCCGGCGGAGCGTGGTGTCCGGAAAGGAGAGGCCCACTCCGTGTTCTGCGCCCCAGAAATCTGAGGGCTATCGTAGGATTATTCTGCAAAACGAGCTTCGAAGTTACCTTGTCCCGCGCTGGTGCTTTTGTGAGTTTGGCTCTGAATACGCTGCACTTAGGGATAAGCAGGAGCAACCGACGCCGTCCTGGTGGTGGGCCCTCCTTCCCGGGAACAAGGTAAGGCGTGTTTGCTACCTTTTCTTTCTCTCAGGGAGAAAAAAACACAGGAGGTCCTATAGATGACGCTTTTTTTTTTTGAGGTGAAATTCACACAACATAAAACTAGCCGTTTATGGTACTGCCAAACTTTATCAAGTTCCAAAATGCCATCGCCACGGAAGGAAACCCAGTACCCGTTAGGTAGCACTGTTCCCGCTCCCGCAGCCACCTGGCAGCCACCAGCCCACAGCACGTGGCCTTCGGGATCTGGCCTCTCGCACTTAGAACAGCGTTTTCGCGGCTCTTCTCCGTTTCCTTCACTTGTATGGCTGGATGACACTCCCTCATACAGATGGCATGTTTTGCTTTTTGGGTCGTCTGTTGACGGATGCGTTGGTTTCCACTGTTTGCCTGTCGAGACTAGTGTTTCTGAGCACGTTTGTGTGGAGGCGTTCGTTTGAGCCCCTGTTTTTGGTTCTTTTGGGTGTCCTCCTAGGAGTGGAATTACTGGGTGGAGTGGTGAATCTGTGTTTAACTTTCTGAGGAACCACTGAGCCATCTTCCACAGTGGCCACCTGTTTCACATTCCCATCAGCTATATTCCCATCAGCCTCCTTGCCAACACCTGTTACCTTCTCTTTACAAAAACAAAACAGAACTATCCCCATCTGGTGGATGCGCCGTATCTCGTTGTGGCTCTGATTTGCATTTCCCTGATGGCTGGTGACGCTGAGCAACTCTTCATGACCTGTGGCTGTGTTTGTGTCACTGGAGAAATCACTGTTCAGAGTCTTTGTTTTTCTTTACTTGGGCTGTTTGCATTTTTGTTGTTCAGTCACGAGAGTTCTTCACGTACAAGGCATCATCAGATATATGACTTGAAAGTATGTTCTGTAATCATGTAGATTTTTTTTACTTTTTTGATAGTGTTCTTTGATGCACATTCTTTGATGTTGATGAGTTTCACTGTTTTTCTTCGGGCTCATGCTTTCGGTGTTGTGTGTGAGAAGCCGTTACCAGATTCACACCTGTGTTTCCTTCCGACTGCCTTGTAGACTCAGCTCTTACATGTAGGGCTTTGATCCAGTCTGAGTCAGGTTCTGGTGTGCGGCAAGGGCTCAGCTTCATTCTCTTCTGTGTGGAGACTCAAATTTTCCAACACCGTTTGTTGAAAGCCCCTTTCTTTCCCCCACTGAATCATGCTGATACACTTGATGAAGCCAGCTGTGTGGTTAATACCTGGCTGTCGGTTTTACCCCGCAGGTCTGCCTGTCTGTCCTGGGATCTGTGCTGATTCTTCAGTGTTTGGTGGAATTCACCTGTGAAGCCGCTGGTTGCTGGGCTTTCCTTCCTTGGGATGTTTTGGTGCCTGACAGAGTCTCTTCAGATCTTCTTCCTTCTTGGGTCAGTTTGGGTCGTTTGTGTGTTTCTAGGTTTTGTCCAGTTCACCTAGGTTTCCTGATGTGCTGGCATCATTCTTAGTATGACCTTCCTTTATTTCTGTGAAGTCCACAGTCATGACCCTCGTTCACTACTGACTTCAGTGACTTGCGTCTTCTCTCTTTCTCCGTCGGTACGAAGAATTGACTGTTGTGTCGATCTTTTCAAAGCAGCAGCTTCTTTGGCTGGTGTTGCTCCGTGTCTCCTCTCTCCTCTGAGTCGTTCCTGGCTTCCTGGCCAAGGGTCGACTTACTCCTTGTTCCTGCTCCTTATGGGTCAAGTCAGGGTATTGATTTGCTTGGTTTTTATGTCACAGGCATGCACAGCTGTACGATTCTCCAGCGGCACTGCATTTGCTGCATCCTGTACGTTTCTCATTTGCTGCCGTCTCCAAGTACTGTTAAAATTCTCTGGTGATTTCTTCTTTGACTGATTAAGGGTGTGCATTCCTTGATGTCCACATGTTTGGAATTTTCCTCTTTCCTGTTACTGATTTCTGACTTCGTCCAGCACGGTCAGAAAAGGAGGTTTGTGTGATTTCAGTCTTTTCAAGTTGACTGGGACTTGTGTTGTGGCCTCACGAGTGGCCTATCATTGGGAGCGTTCCCTGGGCACTTGAGGAGAAGCTTAATGCTGCTGCTATGGGTGAAGTGTTCTGCACATGTCTGTTAGGATTACTGAGTTTACAGTGTTCAAGTTCTCAGGTCCCCACTGAGTGTCCGTCTAGTTGTTCAATCCATTATGCAAGTGGGGGATTGACGTTTCCAGCTATTGTTGTGGAACCATTTCTCCCCTCACTTCTGTTGGCTTTTAGCTCATGTATTTTGGGGTTCCATTGCTTGGTATGTATATGTTTATAATTGTTATAGCTTCTTGATGGATTGACCTGTTACATCAATATAATGTCTTTGTCTTGTAACAGCTCTTAAGTTATCCTCCGTTTTGTCTGACAGCAGGAAACCACCGTGGCTCCCTTTTGCATTTACTTCTACATTTGTTCTCTGTATGTCTTGGTTTTTTTGTTCCTCAGTTTTTCCATTACTGTCGGTTTTTGCATTTAGTTGAGTTTTTAAACATCATGATTCCTTTCTCTTTTTCCATATTATTTAGTTATGTGTTAGTGGCTGCCTTGGGGATTAGTTAACATCTTAT